GCAGCCGGCGCTCCCTAATGCCTCCGCTGCTTCTTGCAGTTTCTCTCAGTTTTTTTTTTTTTTGATACTCTCACCATTCCTCGGAACGACGCCCTCAGGGAATGGCGATCTGTCGGCTGCTCGGAGCCCCGAGCCAAAGGCTGAGAGAAAACGACTCACTGTGAGTTTCCTAATTAGATTGTAAATTTCGCAGAGAGAGAAGAGGGTTTTAGGCCTAATTGTAAAATTTTTGTCAGGAGCTAAGATTCTAGCTGCTAACGGGCTTCGAGACTGAGTCAAAACTGGAGTCACGCCCAAAGGAAGGGTGTGGCCAAAGTTTTTACCCAGTCTGTCGGGCGGGAAGGCTGTCATAGAACCATCCAGTGGACTCTACAGCCATACTGCTGGAGAACTGCAGATTTTTTTTGTTGCTATAAAAGTGAAATGGAAAATGCATGTGAAGAAGAGAAAACTATTTTGTTAGTGGTGAGATTTTTGTATAATTTCTTCTTTTCCTGACTTTGTTTTTCACTGGCTGCGTTGCTTTAAGAAACAGAGACAGAAAGTAAAAAGGGGGGGGTCTCATCTTTTTAACTATTTTTTTTTCTGCTTAGAATTCTGGTGTTATGGTTCCGGCTAATGAAACTTTTCAAAGAACTTCCAGGCATTATTTTCCTAAAAGTCTTTTATTGTTACAAAATGTTGGCACAGGCACAACGGAGGGATGCTAGAGTCTAAGTTCTCTTCCTCTGAGCAGTTAAATTATCAGCATGTTCCCTCCCTAAATTAGCCGTCATATCTCACATTATCCAATTAGTGTGAAGGTCAAATATTTTCTTCCTCTTTCTTTCCTGGGTTTTACCTTCAAACCCCCTTCTGCTCTGTATTAACCCCATAATTACCAGACAATTCTGCATATTGTCAAAAGCAAGAATATACAATATTTGCAGCGTTGACATCTGGTTTGAGGAAGGTGAGGTGGATGTGAAATTTAAAATCCATTCTTATAGTAAGAAATAAGGTTATTTTTTAAATAAATGAAATATGAGAAAAATTTGAATACATATCCATCAACCAAAGAATTGATACTAGAGTTTGATACAAAACTATTTCAGTAACTCAGAATATCTTATTAAGCTTGTTTGTTTATTTGTTTGTTTATTTATTTTGTGGAGTTGCTTTTTTGTTGTTGTTGTTTTATTTTTTTATGTTTTCATGTCTGCGTGCAGGACACACTGATAGAAAATAATACCTAAGAGAACTGAAGGAATTGTAATTCAACCCTTCCTTGTTTAAAATGAAGGAGTTGAGAAAATTTTGGGGATTATAAATGAGCTATGTTGTTTTGAATAAAGATTTGTATGCATACAAACTCAAGCAGAGTTTGGTAAGTGCTCCTTTTGTTGGTTCTTTACTAAGCAATTTGTTTGTAAATATGGACAAAGGAATGGCTAGGGGAGGGATAATTGATACTTTTCTATGGTTAATATATGGTTGGTTATATGATAAGTATGATATGAAGACAAATAGATAAAATGTTCTATAACATCTAATAGTGAGGCTATTTCAATGCATTCAAGCTGATTTTAAATTACCTCAATTGGGAAATTCCACAATATGAAACTAATGACATGTTTATAAAGAATTAGATACTAGGGCTGTTTTCTGCTTTGTCTTATCTCAGGAAGCACTTAGCCCAGACAGCTCCATTGGAGTTTGTTGTCCACAAGTTTCAGTCTGGTGATTGGGTCCTGATAGAAAGCTGGTGTGAAGAAAAACTTACTTCAGCCTGGGGTAGTCCCTAACAAATCCTCTTAACAACTGAAACAGCAGTTCAAAAGAAAGAAAAAAGGTGGAGCCAAAAGAATGAAAAATAATTCCTGGAGAAGACCTGCTTTGAATAAAAATTACCAAAAACTTATGTGGTCATTGTGGGGTGAAGAAATGATAGCCTGGGTTTGTTTGTGATTTTTCTCATTGCAGGAGTAGCAGCTTTCTGTTTTTTTCAATCTGAGTGGTAGACTATGTTATTCCATCCAATGATTCCAGAAGAAGCTGTGGACCTCTGCATTCTACAAACTTATACATAATATGTTGGTTCTGTGATTGTAATTGTGTCACTGAATGTTGTTGTTCTTATCACTGTTGTGATTGTGAACCAGTCTGTCCCTGTGAAGAACCATGTGACATAGTAATAGTGGAGGATTGGTTAAAAATATGTAAAGGTCTGACATCAACAGACTCTTTAGCCCACATACCCAATTATAGGAGAAATTGAAATTTAGACAGCAGAAACACAACCTGACCTAAATTCAGTTATATTGGGAGATAGTGTTATTCAAATTCCATGGGATATAGAATGGATTGTGTCTGAGGGATAATGATGAAGAAGACCAACAGGAAAGTCAAACACTGGAAAGTCACAGAAAGGTAGAACAAGAACTATCAGAGTGGATGTAAATCTCTTTATAATTGAGTTCACTATAGCTTAGGCTTGCTTACCAACATATAAGTATAAACTGTAACCCATATATGCAAAGTGTTTTGTTTTTTTGTCTATAAATTTCTGAAAGGATAAAGAAAAGAGAGAGTGGATTGAAAGGAATAAAGTATTATTCAGAAATTTCTAATGAAGGTTGATAGAAGAAGCTGCCTGAAAGTCATAAAATCAGAGAAGTAAATTACAGACAAATAAGAAAAACAGAAGTTGCTAGCTAACTGAAATTGCAAGCAAAGGAAATATCGAAATAACTGTAGGAGCTGAAGCTGTGCTAACAGAAAATTAGACAGCAAAAGATAGGATATGGACAAAGGGGCTTCCTGGAACATGGGAAGGACTGTGGTTTTAGGTGGTCCGGATAGTTTATCGGATGATTAGGGAAGGGGTGTTGAGTGTGATAGGGGAGGTATCTGCGTCGGAGGTAGGATATAAAAATGTGTCAAACAGCTCTTTAAGGTATGGTTGAACTCCTGTGTGTGTTTCAGTCCACCAAGCCTTTGCAAACGCTTTATTTTGAATAAAACTTTGTTGCTGGAATTCTAAGTAAGTTTGTTTGTTTTGGGATCTTGAGCCATGTTCCAAACACCAAGATAAAGCTATCATTTGGAACTGTGGTTATAGGGAAAATTATGATTAGTACAAGCTAACAAAGAAGTATGTCAGGATACAATTTTTTTTTCTTAGCTCTGAGAATCTTCATTTCCATCATTACAGATTATTATCTTTGTTGACAGAGCTGTACTCTAAATTCACAGTAGTTGAATTACTGCAGAAAAGCAAAGGTGTTGCTGCAATTTTATTTTATTGCTATTCATTTGATTTACACCATGTATTTTTTAATGATGAGAACTTCAGAACAGCATATGTTATGGACATTATAAAATTAAATGTGTTAATTTTTTTACAGAACAGTAAAGAGAATATTAAAGAAAATTTAGTGGCAGCTTCATCACATTCTGAGACAGCAAAATAACAAAATTCTGAAGTTCCCCTTAATCCTGTGTCTAACTGAATACATACATTTTCTACTTGTATTACATGGTTATTTTTCTTTTAATTCTCAATTAATCAAAAAACTAAGAAATTGCTTGAATTTATTAAAATAGAGAGAAGTTTTTATAAAAAACATCATGACTTTAGTGCTACTCATTTCTATAGTTCAGAGACTGAAGCGGAGAAATGCTACCTGGAATTAAGGAGAAACTTCCTGACAGTGAGGACAATCAACCAGTGCCTTCAAAAATCATAGGTGCTCCATTACTGGAAGTTTTTAAAAAAAGACTGGACAATCATCTGTCTGAGATGGTATAGGTCCTCCTGCTTGAGCAGCGGGCTGGACTAGAAGAACTCCAAGGTCCCTTCCAGCTCTGTTCTATTCTAAATGATTAAGCTACTTAAACATGATAATAATCAAAATCCCTAAAAATCTTCAGGAATTCAGTCGTCGTGTGTCCTATTCTGCAGACAGTTTCTGAAATCACTTACAGTATCAATATTAGAGAGCTTGATTGTTTTCTTGCAGATGTTTCATTACCCAAGCCAAGTAATATCATCAGTGCTGGTAAATTGCTCTCAACCCCATTCTTTACTAGAACTGATGTTACCTAGTTTGGGTAATGAAATGTCTGCAAGAAAACAGCCAAACTCAGAGAGCATTAAGGACCCATCCTTTCAACCCTGAACTACAAATGTTCTCCTTTATTAATATCAATATTGTACAATATCGGATAAAGAATGGAAAATCAATCATGGATCCTGCAGTCAGAGATCATAACCTTGTGATCTGTTTTATTTTTGTACTTCCCTTTTCCTGACTTTCTTTTACCAATTGTTTAAAACAGTGATGGCGAATCTTTTAGAGACTGAGTGCCCAAACTGTATGCCGAAACCTACTTATGCATTGTCGGGTGCCGGGTGGGTATGGTCCATTGGCTGGGTGTGGCCAATTGGCTGGGTGTGGCCAATTGGGTGGGCATGGCTGCAGTGGTAATGGCAGACTGGGTGGGACTAAAAAGTTCAATCAATCAATACCAACTTTGCAAGAATTTTTTTTTTCTGCGAGAAGTTGAAATTGACTAATTGAACCCCCCCCCCCTTTTTTTGCACATGGCGACGGTGGCCTAAAGCGAAAAGGTTTTATAAAACCCGACTGAAGGCCTAGAACTGGGGCAACGATGCACGTGCCCACAGAGAGGGCTCTGAGTGCCGCCTCTGGCACCCGTGCCATAGGTTCGCCACCACTGGTTTAAAATATATTTGCTCAAAAGTATAAGTTTATAATGTAAAATGACCAACATACAAACACACATTCAGAGCTTTATTTTGGAAACAATCAGGATTTTTAATATTATAAACATGTTACAGTCTCTTTTCTGGCTAAGAGTAAAATAAAACTGTTCTGCCTTTATCTTCAGTATCAGTGTTTCATGTTAAAAACATGTAAGAAAGGCAAATCTTGCTGAAATAAAACAGACCTGCTCTCCTCCTTTCAGAATGCATAGGCATTCTGCTGCATGCTTACCAGGACAGTAGGCATCAAGATCCAGTTTTGGTGTTGAATTGAGTGCTGGTGAGCCAAGCTCAGATTCTGGAATTCGAGGGCTCTCAACAAATTTGGCTTTCCTTAATGGAGCTTAAGAGAAAAATAGAAAGAGAGGATATGGGTATAAATGAATGTGAATGTATAATAACAGCATAAAAAATCAGTTAACAGTATCAAGCCAAGATCAGTTCTACTTTTTATTTTTATTTTTATGCCTAAAGGAAGAGCTATCTATTTTATAGAAAAGATATGATCTACAGTAACAAATTTAAAATACCGCAGATGTCTCTCACAATTTCTCAAAACAAAGAATTATCCACATTTATTATGTTCAGTGAGCTTTGGTTGTAAGTATGTGCTAGAACACATAAAAGGTGCATTTTGCATATCCATATTTTCTTTGCACTGATTATGCAAATTGGTATACACACACACATGCATGTGTGCACTCACACACACACTATTTTTTACTGCTCATTTTCCTCAGATGTAGATAATGGAATCTTCCCTGAGATCCAGTGGGACCTAGAAAATCTAATTTCTTTTTACAAAATTTTATTGAATATACAATTAAAAAACACAAAAGACACATTAAACATAATACAATTAAAGACAAAAAAGACACATTGGACATGATACAACTTCCCTGTTTAAACAATACTATTAATATTACCTTACATTAAGTTATTACATTGTTACACAGTGCACATTCTTTTAATAAAGTACATCCTAGTTAAATAACTTTTAGTTCTATCTGATATAACAAATATTAAAATAAGAATTTCTAGTTATCTACTTAATCATCAGCCTTTGTCCCAGCATACCTCTTTAAATCCAACCAATTATACACTTTATTCCAAATTTCAAAGTACTCTGTTTCTGTTTTATATTTGAGTTCTAATGTCAGTCTGTCCATTTCCGCACAGGATAGAATTTTGTTCAGTATTTCTTCTTCAGGGGGCGTTTTTTTTCTTTTCCAATTTTGAGCATATGTTAATCTTGCTGCAGTTAAAATGTGCAGAATTAAATATAAATTTATCCATAGTGATCCCTAATAAAAAGAGTTCTGGTTTTTATTTCAGTTTTTAATGATAGTATCTCTTCTAACCAATTTTTTATCAAGTGCCAAAGTTTTCGAGCTTCTGAGCATTCCCATCACATATGATAGTAAGTCCCTGGTATTTTCTTACATTTTCAACATAATGGTGAAGATTTTTTGCCTATTTTTGCTAGCCTTGTAGGGGAGAGGTGCCACCTATAAAACATCTTGTATAAATTTTCTTTGTAAGTAGTAGCTAATGTTAATCTCCTATTCCTGTCCCATAGTAGTTGCCAATAATCTAACTCGATATTATAGCCGAAGTTTTTATTCCAAGTTAACATTGTATCTTTTACCTGTTCTGCTGGCATACTTTGTTCTAATAAATATTGGTAAATCTTTTTTATCATTTTGTCTTCAGTTCCTAGCAGAATTTTGTCTAGTTCTGTATATTCTAGTTTAATCCCAGGTTTTTTTTTTTTATCTTTTCTATATCGTGACTGTATTTGCAAGTATGCCCACCATTCCAACTCTATGCCATCTTCTAATAGTTCCCCTCTTGTTTTCAATTCTCCAGTCTCATCAAGAATGTTTTTATATGTAATTACCTTGACATATATCACTATTCTTCCTTTTTTCTGCTGTGAGAGAGAGATACAAATTTAATTCCTAGCTTGGGGTGGTTTAATAGGTCTTGGTGCTGATTCTTGATGTGAGTTTCTTTTAAAATTATTATATCTAATTTTTTCTTACTGAGCCTATTCAAAATTTTATTTCTTTTGGCTGGGGAATTTAAGCCATTTACATTTAATGATAATACTGTTAGTTCTTCCACATTACTGCCTATATTTTGATCTGGTTGTTCTCGTCGGCCTATCTTCTTTAAATTCTTTATGTCTACTTTCATCATTGTTGCCATCATTCATTTGTTCTTTTCTCCTAGTTTCCGGTTCTTTGCTTTGTATTTCTCGTGCCTTTCTACTATATCTCTCTGTAATCTCTTCTTCTCTTAGTTCTCTTTCTTCTAATTCATCTTCATTACTTAGATATTGCTGAGAGAATTCTTCTGCTTTATTTATCATATCCAGCCTGTGCCTTTTTTTCTTGCCAAGTCACCAGGATCCCTTCCAGCATCAACCACCTAAAATTAATATTCCGTCTTATTAGTTTTGATGTGATATGTTGATAAAGTCTTCTAAGATCTCTTATTCTCCTGGAGACCTGATTAAGAACTGTTAGTTGTTTTCCTTTATATTCTATTGGAACATCTCTGTGCAAGATCTCATCTCTAACTGAATTCTTGACAAATTAGATATGCACTTCCTTGGATAAGTTGTTTCTTCTTGCATAATTTGTGTGTATTCTATATATTTCATCTATCTCATTTGCCATGTCTTCTTTCTCGATTCCTAAGGCTCTCGCTAACAGTTCAGTTATCATTTCTGGGAGATCCTCCCCTTTCTCTTCCTTCACGTTCTGAAAATGTAGATAGTGATCTGCTTTTTCTGTCTCTAGCAAAATGACAGTTTTTTCCAATTCTTTATTTGCTTGTAAGAGTCTTTCATTCATTTCATCTACTTTCCTCCTTATTTATTCTATCTTCCATTTTTAATAGTTTTTGCTCATTTTTCAGTATTTGTTGTTGGAAGCATTCAAATTTCCCATCCATTGCTCCCATCTTCTCTTTAAGTTCTCCGGTGTCATTCCTTATTTTGCCTATCTCTTTTTTCAAGTCTTCATGGTTTCTCAACATGACCTCTTACATAGATTGTAACATTGATTGTAGATCTTTAAGTGAGCCTGCTCTTTCCCTTGGCATCATTTCTTCTATTGAGCTTTGCCCTGTTGGGCTTAGATCTGCTGAGGCTGTTTGAATTATCTGCTTTCTTCCAATCCCAACTCTTGTTAAGTTGGGGATGCTTGTCATTTTTCAGAGTAACATCCACCAGCCCTCCCACTTATATACAATCTTTATCTTTTCTTTCACCACTCCTGTAAGATTTGTTATCCTTCTAGTATTATAATCATTAATACTTTCTATTACTAACACAATATCAAATTTCTAAAACTAGTGCTTTAATAAACAATAATTAACAGGCTAGAGTATTTATCACTTTCAAATGCTCATATACCACTATAAATCTAATTTAACTAAATAGTTATATATAATAATAGCATAACAGTTGATTCATTCAAATATTATAGCAAGTATTCAATTCATTGACAACACAGTCCAAATTTTACAGTTGATCTCTTGACATTGTAGGGATTAACGCAATCAGTAAGGTAGACTATCACATAGGGGAGGTAGTTTTACCCCTTTCGCTCTGGGGCTTCTTTTCTCTTCTTTCCTTCTTTGAAATTCTCCGGAATGATTTAATGCTCTGAATCAATTAGAAAGGATCGCCGAGTACTCACATCACCAGGCTCATTGTATCATTGTCCCGCTAAATCACAGCTATCTTTGTCCAGCTGACAGCTGTCATTTTTTCACAGCCACCATTATGGGCCAATTCCTTTTCCTTCTCCTTCTCGGCTTCTCCGAGGCTTTCCTGCTTTTACAGTTCAGACCGCTGTCCGAAAATGCTTTGCTGGGCGCCTCCTCTTCCAATCTCTCTCCAAGGGATTGGGGGCTTTAAAAAACTTACCGGGCACGGAGAAGTGGCTGTGAAGTCAGCGCACTTATTCAGAGCAGCCATTCCATTTGGCAGCTGGCCCACCTCTCTAGAAAATCTAATTTTTGTGATGTTAATACCATCATGTCTTGGTGCTAATCCTACCTGACTATAAGTATATTACCTAATCCAAATTCCACATCACAAAACGCATATAGACTTGTGACTGCACAACCCTTAGCAGCACAAGACCTAAGGTGGACAAAATATAAGTAGCAATAAGCAATAGCACTTAGACGTATATACCGCTTCACAGTGCTTTACAGCCCTCTTTAAGCGGTTTACAGAGTCAGCATATTGCTCTCAACAATCTGGGTCCTCATTTTAATGACTTTGGAAGAATGAGGTTGTGTCAACTTTGAGCCGGTGAGAATCAAGTCCCTGACAATCAGCAGAATTACCAGAATTAGCCTGTAATACTGCATTTTAACCACTATGCCACCACTGCTCCTAAGTAGTCCTCAACTTATGACCACAAATGAGCCCAACATTTCTATTGCTATGCAAGACTGTTGTTAAGTGCATTTTGCCTCATAAGTGTGAAAAATAGTCATAACTCACTTTTTTCAGTGCTGTTGAATGTTGAGTGGTCACTAAACAAATGGTTTATCTGTAATTTCTTTTCACTTCTTTTCTCTTCCTGATACATACCATTCTTATTCTATTTTCCTTTCCTTTCCTTGCCAGCTCACTGGACAAAGAGTGACAGGGAGAGATGGAGTTTGATTTTGCTGAGGTTTAAACTACTTATTTAAAACTATGTTGTAAATGTCCTGGAATTGCATGTTTCCCAATTCTATATAGGTTTAGAACTGCAGCACAAGTTGCAGCAAAATATATAGAAAGATTGCCAGAAAAGGGGCGTTGTCTTACGTAAACACCTTTTCTCAGCACGGAGATGGGGAATCCACCAACGGGTTTTCTCTGTCTGCCTGCTCTTGAGACCAAGTTAGCCAAGCTTGACATGCCCCCTGTTGCTAGGGGATCCCAGTCTTGACAAGGGCGAAAGCGGCTAATGCTAGGACTAGGTGCTGGCTCTCAAACCCCTAATTCCAGCCTAACTGACCTTAAGGGTGGGTGTGGATTCCCCATCTCCATACTGAGAAAAGGCATTCAGGTAAGATAATGCCCCTTCTCCAGCATAGGAGATGGAGAATCCACCAATGGGACATACCAAAGCCTCACTGTCCCAATGGGTGGGAAACAGACGAGGCCGGCTCCACGTCCCCGGAAACCACTTGCTGAAGGACCCTACCAAAGGAGGCGTCCACAGAAGCAAAGCTGTCAATCTTATAATGGCGTACAAATGGGGAGGGAGAAGACCATGTCGCAGCCCTGCACATCTCCTCAATGGATGCCTGAGTGGCCCATGCTGCAGAGGTCGCAGCGCTGCGAGTGGAGTGAGCTGTGATATCACTTGGAGCTGGAAGTGAAGAAGACTAATATGCTTCCGCGATACAAGCCCTAATCCACCTACCTATGGTGGAAGCGGACACCTTCTGCCCCATAGAAGATGGGAGGAAGGAGACGAAGAAGGCTTCCAACCTGCGAAAAGACGCCATGCACTTGATGTATCATCATAGCACCCTGCGGACGTCCAGTTTGTGCCACTGCCGCTCCAAGTCATGGGAAGGATTGGGACAGAAATCTGGCAAAATAATTTCCTGGGCTCTATGGAAGAGCGAATTGACTTTGGGCACGAATGTGAGATCCAGCTGAAGAACCACCTGGTCCCGGTGGAAAATACAAAGATCATCCCTGATCGATAGAACTGCCAGCTCAGAAATGCACCTGGCTAATGTGATAGCAATCAGGAAGGTTAGCTTGTGGGATAAGGACCTCAAAGCTATAGTAGTGACCGGCTCAAAAGGCGGTCTAGTGAGTGCGCGTAGAACTCGGGGCAACTCCCAAGACGGGTACCTGTGTACCATGGGTGGCTTGGTGTTGCTGGCGCCCTTGAGAAAGGCGTGTATTCTGGGATGATAAGCCAAAGGAATCGAGTTGGCACAGGTGAGTAGGGTGGATAGGGCCGCCACCTGTCTACAGATGGTCGCAGGGGCCAGGCCTCTATCTAGGCCATCAAGAAGGTAGTCAATGATCCGAAGGATTGTCAATTCTGAAATGTCCAGTTGCTGCCCTGCACACCAATTGCAAAAGTTCTTCCATGTAGCGTCATAAATGCGATTGGTTGCCAGCCTGCGAGAGGCCTGAATCATGGAAATCGCCCTTGGTGAGAATGACTCCTATGATTCTGCGCTCAAGTGCCAGGCGGCTAACTATAACCACTGAGAGTCCGGATGTTGTAGGACCTCCTAGTGCAGGGACATGCGATCCGGGGGAATCTTCCATGGGGAAGAGTGGGAGAGATTCACCATGTCGGCAAACCAGGGTCCCCGAGGCCAGTAAGGGGCCACAAGGATCACCTCCACTTGCTCCTGTATCAGCTTGCAGATGATCGCTGGAATCAGTGGGAGGGGAGGGAAGGCGTAGAGTAGGCCCTCCGGCCACGGGGTTCATAAGGCATCCGTCCCCTCCGCTCCGGGGAGTAATAGTGGGAGAAGTATCTCGGGAGCTGGGCATTGCTCGACGACGCGAATAGGTCGAGGACCGGTTGGCCAAACCTTCGGGACATCTCAGTGAAAAGATCCGGGTGTAGACCCCACTCCGAGGGAATCTATGGTGGAGCAACTCAGAAAGTCCACCTGCCGGTTCTTCTCCCCAGAGATGTGTTCGGCCCTGAGGGAGGACAGGTTGGACTCTGTCCAGGAGCCCAGCAACTGGGCCTCGGACATGAGGGACCTGGACCGGGTGCCCCCCTGCCGGTTCACGTGGGCCTTTGACGCCACGTTGTCCGTAAGGACAAATATGTGTCGACCCCTGATCTGGTTGTGGAAGTGGTGAATTGCCAAGCAGTTTAACAATATACTACAAGGAGGAGAAATTGAAAAGTGGCTAACAACTGGGAAAACCTATCTAATAATGAAAAATTCAGCAAAAGGGGCAACACCAGGCAATTACAGGCCAATTACCTGCTTACCAACAACTTTCAAATTGCTAACTGGTATAGTAGCTGATGCAGTACAACAGCATCTAATTGAAAACAATCTCTTTCCACCTGAGCAGAAAGGAAACCGACCCAATAGCAGAGGAACAAAAGATCAACTCCTAATAGATAAATTGATCTTGGAAAACTGCAACAAAAGGAAGACTAACCTGAATGTGGCATGGATTGACTACAAAAAGGCATTTGACTCTCTACCCCATGATTGGATAGTCAAGTGCCTAGAAATAACAGGAGTCAGTAGAAACATCAGAAAATTTGTGCAAAGATTGATGGCACAATGGAAGATGACACGACTTGCAGGTCAATAGTGAGAGACTGGGAGAGGTTAATATCAAGAGAGAATATTTCAAGGAGATTCATTATTACCACTACTATTTGTTATTGCACTGTTTCCTCTGTCAACAATAACTCAAGACATGGCTATCAAACATCAAAAACGTCTGCCAGACTATCCCACCTCCTTTGCATGGATGATCTGAAGCTGTATGGAAAACATCATCTGAAATAGAATCGCTGCTCAACACTGTCCATATATATATGCCAAGATATTGCAATGGAGTTTGGCCTGGACAAATGTGCCACACTTACAGGGAAAATAGTGAAAACTGAAGGGATCAAGATGCCCCACGAAAACAACATTAAGAGTCTGGATGTGGACGATTACTACAAATACTTGGGTATTCTTCAAGTTGACAACATCAAGCACACTGAAGTCAAGAAAAAGATTAGAGGTGAATACATCAAGAGAGTGAAGAAGATCTTAAAGTCCAAACTCAATGGAGGAAATACCATGAAGGCAATCAACACTTGGGCAATTCCAGTCATTAAATACACAGCTGGAATAGTGGACTGGACTCAAGCAGAACTAAAAGTAATGGATAGGAAGACCAGAAAAATAATGACAATGAATCATGCCCTTCATCCACACAGTGACATTGACAGACTCTATCTACCAAGGCAAATAGGTGGGCGTGGAACGATGCAAGTACATAAGATGGTTGAAGAAGAAAAAATGGCTTTGGAAGAATATCTGAAGGACAATGATGAAGATACACTGAAAATAGTATATCAGGAAGGCTTACTGACTACTAGAGAGACCAAACTGGCCTACGAGAAAGACCAAATAAAGAACAGAATAGAGGTATGGGAAGACAAAGCACTACATGGCCAGTACTTTAAAAAAAATAGCTGGGAAAACAGATAGTAACAAAACCTGGCAATGGCTAAGTGCAGGAAAATTGAAGAAAGAGACCGAGGGACTAATTCTGGATGCACAAGACCAAGCCTTAAGGACAAATGCATATAAAGTCAAAATTGAGAAGACAGCAACAGACAGTAAGTGCCGCCTATGCAAAGAAGCTGAAGAAACAGTGGACCGCCTGGTAAGCTGCTGCAAGAAGATTGCACAGACTGACTACAAGCAGTGGCATGACAAAGTAGCAACAATGGTGCATTGGAAGATCTGCGAGAAATATCATTTGCCTGTAAGCAAAAACTGGTGGGATCATAGAATAGAGAAAGTCATAGAAAATGATAAAATTAAACTGCTCTGGGACTTCAGAATTCAAA